GAGACTTAAGGCTGGCCACTTAGTGACTGTTTAAAGTTACAACAGATCCCAACCAGGATTCAAAATGTCTGTGTGTGTGTGTGTATGTGTCCCCTCCAGTCACATGACTGCATTTTGTGTGAGAACTCAGCAGTCAGCCCCCATTTACAACCATTTGCAATGCTGCAGGGTCACATGACTCCAATTTATGCCATTTTTGCTGAAAGCTATCAAAACTGGCATAAATCTCCATTTTCGCTACCTTTTAGATGCTAGAAAATAGCAACAAATGAGTTCACAATGGTGGCATTCACTTGAGAACCACCACAGAAAAGATAGTAAAAAATGGTCACAGTAAAATTGGTGGCTCGCCTTACAACTGAAACCATGGACTCAGTTATGGTCGTAAGTCAAGGACTACCTGCATGCTATTCTTGTGGTCTGTACTCAATGCACAATATAGTTCCATTGGCGGACGTGATAAGCATCATTGTTCACCATGAAGCCTGTGGCTAAGATGCCTCTGAACCAGTACCCAGTACAATCTTGAATGTGATCCCATCCTTATCTTGGGAACGGGGAAATGCATTTGTAAGAGTCAAAGTTTGGAAACTAGGAAAAACTGAAATGATGTGAAGAAAGTGATATTGTACTGAAAGAAGAGCCAGAGGGGAAAAAAGTTTCACTGGAGATAAACATATTTTGGGAAGAACTGTGAATGTTAATGCCAAAAAAATAAAAATGGACAGAAGTGGAATGGTTGAGGACGTCAGACTTTGCTCAATATTTTATTTTCATCATAAACTGGAGTTTCTCGGAGATTGGCAGCTATTTCCTCTTTCTTCTTAAGTCCAGAAATGCACAAAGCACATGTGCTGCTGATAAGTAAGGAAAGCGAGGTTGTTAAAAGCCCAAAGTACAAACTTGTGAAATAGCTGCCTCTGCGTGCTTCAGTGGTTAACACTTTGTATTTTTCTAGTATTGTAGGCTTCCTCAGGATATAGATAATTCTGACCTATTTACATTACTGAGTCACTTTCAAAGCAGTAAAATGATCCATCTCTTGGGAGAGGATCTATTGTCTGTTGCTTCTTTTCTCCAGTTCCTGCCCTGGATTTACCTCTGTTCAAAATGGAGGAGTAAGCTCCACATAATGGTAAATTGCATATTCCAGATCTTTTCTTGAGTTATTTAAGCTGCATCTCTTCAAGAGTTATCTTTGAGGGCTATGTGATGTTAATGGTCGGAGCAAACAGTGGGTGAGGACATCTTTTTGGATACCTCTCTTTTTCTTTTCTTTTTTATAATTCCACCCCCTAGTAAAGAGAAAGGGCTTACCAAAAATTATTCACTTGCATAAGAATTTTAAAGAAATTGTGGGTTTTCTGTCTAATCCTTTTAAAAGCTTATCTTTACTTCCTATATAATGATTTGTCTCTCTTCTGACTCTGCTGCTCTGATACTTTGGGGATCTCTAGGGGTACGTAACTCTTTGGATCCCAAGCCAAGATGTTAGTACCTCAGAGAAGCTGTGTGTTTCCCTGGCTCCCAAGAAAACAAGCACTTGAGTTAAGGAAACACCAACAACATGCCCACATTTACTTGGAACACTTTTTTGGCTTCAGATATGAAATGCTGCACATTCCTAGATAGCTACTTTAATTGGTTTACTTAAGACTAGCAGAAGTGTCCTTCAAGGTTTTCTTGCAATTTTGTGCTTATCAGTTGGGCAGAAAAATGAAATAACCTGCAAATAAAATGGTTGTTTCTGCATAGTTACAGATGATCTTGTGTTTGCAGAAAAACTGACAATAAATTAAAAGGATTTTTAAAAACATGAAAACTGTTAAAAAGGGGAAGTTACTGTGTAATAAATCCCAAAATGGAGGTTGCTACACTTATTTTGAAATCACACCAGTTCAGTATCTAAACTCTTGAAACAGCCTGTTTTGAAATCAGAATATTTTGACCATTAAATGATTTGCATGCCTCTAAGTGAGATTGCTTTTTCTTCTGAATTTTTTAATTTTCCTAATCTAGAACTGGTTCTTCACATAGAATTGGTTCACACTGTTCACTTAGCCATTATGTAAATCCAAGGCAGAATTGACTAGGATCTCAGAATATTTCATAGAATTTAGCAGAATAGCAGAATTGAAAGGGACCTTGGGAGTTTTCTAGTCCCTGCTCAAGCAGGACATTTCAGCCTTTAGGTGCTTTGGAAAGTAGGTTGACCCCCTCTTTTTTGTGGTAACCCCTTAGATATTGGAGGACTGCTATCATATCTCCCCTAGTCCTTTTCTTCGTTAGACTAGACCAGTGATGGTTAACCTTTTCAGCACCAAGTGCCAAAATTGGAGTGTGCATGCGCGCCAGAGTGCCGGAAGAGAGCAACTGGCAGAACCTGGAAGAGCACCTGGCGATGGTGCACATGTCCACAGAGAGAGCTCTGTGTGCCACCTCTGGCACGCATGCCATAGGTTCGCCATCAGGGACTAGACATACCCAATTTCTGCAACCATTTTTCATATGTTTTAGTCTCCAGTCCTCCTGCTAAATATGCTAAACACAAACCAAAGAATTTACTTTATGATTTAGCATGAATGAAACTAAGTCATTGGAATTAACGTTTTCTGTTCAGGGTTGGCTAGCACCATGTCCTAAAATAAAGGATTGTTGCAGTAGAATGGGAAGGCAAAGAAAAAGGTGATATTTACTCTGCTCTAAAATGCAGATGCAAGAACGAAGCAGTGTCATAAGGCTCCATGCAAAGCTCTACTTCAGTTTGAGGCTCCCATAATTTTCAAGTGGATTACAGGTGATCCTTGACTTGTGACCACAATTGACCCTAAAATTTCTGTTAAGTGAAGCATTTGTTAAGTGAGTTTGACCCATTTTACAATCTTCCTTGTCACAGTTGTTAAGTGAATCATTCTAGTTGTTAAATTAGTCAAAAGTATTGTTAAGTGAACCTGGCTTCCCCATTGACTTTGCTTCTCAGAAGGTCACAAAGGGAGATCATGTGTCCCCGTAACATTGCAACCATCATAAATAAGCCAAGTGTCTGAATTTTGATCACATGACCAGGGGGATGCTGCAACAGTCGTAAGTGTGAAAACTGGTCATACGATTTTTTTTGTTTGTGCCATTGTAACTTCAAAAAGTCACTAAATGAACTTTTGTAAGTCAAGGACTTCCTATACTATTTTTCTGTGTTCTAACAACATACTTACTAGCCCTATACCTTCATTAACATTAATAAAACACAACTATCCAGTAGATTCCTTGGTAATGAGGGTGAACATTTGTGTATTCAAACACAAAAAATGACATTGGTGAGTAAAGAGATTGGGCTGTGAAGTTGAATGATTGGGAACTGGAAGCAATTTAGCCACCTGTATTCTTCCCTTCCCTTCCATTGGACCTTTGTTTCTTCCAATTTTACAGATGGCGCTGTTTGCTACTTTGAGAAGAGTGACATGTTATACGTAGTCTTGGCATGAAGAGAAGCAAAACAATCTTCTGCCTTTCAAGTTGGGTGTTCTGGGCTTTATTTTCATTTCATTTGAATGTGATGTGAGGTTTGCTGCTCAGAACGCTGAGACACATTTCTCCTGAAATTTTTATGGCATTCCAACCATTCTTCCCACACATAAGAAACTGGGCAGAGAACAGAGAATAGTTTAACTACTCAATGACAGCATGGAAACTGTGGAATTCTCCTGGATTGCTTTTTTGTGATAATAATTAATTGAGCTGCTTTTTTTGGATTGGAAAACTATCTTGAAATTCCCAGACTATTAGCTAAATTGGTAAATTGAAAAATACCCTACGAGAACATCATGACAATCTATTCCAAATACATGGCTGCTCTCAACAGGAGCTGAAGTTATAGAGAAGGAAAAGAAGTGATGTTGAGAAAATATATAGGGTATGGATTCAAATGAATATTCTTACAACTAAGATCTCGAATTAGTATTTTCTTATTTTTGATTTGGGTAAATTATGGCTGCTGTTCCATGTATATACATATCTGACTAAAGCCAATGTGTGTGGTTTAGCATATTTGCTAGACATGTACTGAAAAAAATTCTGGGACTTTGCAGTAGTAGTTGAAAGAAATAAAATGATTACAGACCTACAGCTTTTTTTCAATAGGCTTCAATAGCTGAGTGGTCTTGGTTCAGCGTGTAAAAGCTAGCGTATATTTTTTTATTTTCCACTT